TACAAATTTAACCTTCACTGATTTGCTTCTAACCTTCCGGCCCCACGTAGAGATGCAAATTAATGCTACCGGTTCTGGAATCTCAGGTTGGTTGGTTGAAAACTGCTAGTTACTCCATCAGACAAATTTCCAAAAGCATCAAGGAAATTGTCGACTAACTCTGCAAACTGCAAGTTTCTGTCAAAAACCTGCGCTGGCGGCCCCTGAGTGGTACCGCGAAATGTCTCCCACTTGCATCTGCAAGAAGGTGGGGAGAGGGCCTAGAAAAATTGGGGACATCCTTATCTTTTTGTTTGCGTCAGGCCTCAAACCTTTATCATTCTGACTTGGAAATGGCTGAGAAAACTCATCCACATAATCCCAGGGATAGCCTGGGTCCTGCCCCCACAATATCAATGGCGATCATGAGTGGGGGCAGTAGCCCAGGAATACCTTCAAACCTACGCTGCTCACGAGGGTATCTTATAATGGCAGCGATAAGGGACTATGGTACAACCCAGTAGAACTCGAGAACTGTTCTGCCCGAAGTCCACGTCCTTTCCCTACAAGGTAATTACGCTACACATCCATAACTGTGCCCAAACCCTATAGTCCCTCTTAAGTAGATAGAATATGGGGTATATGGGGATTTTAGTATAATATACCCAAAGCCATAATTATTCTATCTACTTCAGCGGAACTATATACCCTAAACCTTTGGCAGGAGAATGCCTGGCCTAGAGGACCCGGTGCTCTAGAGGAGGAAGTACTGGGCCTGCAATGCAGTCTCAAAGTCAGCATGCGGCTTAGGGAAGTTTAGGGTTTACTTCCGGTTCCTTATTGAGGTAGAGCCACAAATCACACGTCCGTGTTCCTTTTGATTCATAGCCTGCAATGAATCTTGAAATCATATCGAACAATGCGCTGGCTTCACGGGTGCTGGGCTATGATCATTATTGGGCACATGCCCGTTCTGCAACGCAACTGTGGAACTGCTGCGGGTGCAAAACTTTTGTCACTCGACCAGTCACGGCAAGTAGTCTTCGTTCTTGTCTTTTGCCTGGATGGAGCTTGTAGTTTCTTGCTGCGGCTGTAAATCTTCTCCTTGGAGACTTTGCATGAGCGTGTACCGTGCTCAGTAGGTCTTGCTTGCAACGCGAAATCCATTGGTTTGCCTCATAGATTTGTACAATGACGTCGTGAGGGCTCAGCGGATAAGTGCGGAGTACCTGGCTGTATGAACGCTCCTTCTCTCAAACTTGAGGCCGGCTGCTTGCTGCGAGGATGCTGCTAGAACATCCTAAGCACACCGTAGTTCCCTGAAAGTCAAAATCTGCGTAATGACTTGTACAATCAGATTGTACGATTTCTACTATCGTAAGTACTTAGTTGCTCTAGCTAGCTGGACATCATGAGGACACTTCGAAATTGCCATCCCGAATTTCCATGGGTACTCCCCGAAAACCATTCACTGCGCCAGCTTGACGTGAGGAGCCTAGGTAGGCATATTATCTGTGTTTGCAGGAGGGTAAACTCAAAACCACATTCCGAACTTTATGGGGCCACATGTGAGTCTTGGGGAGGTACTCACTAGAACCCAACCAGAAGCCCCTTAAGCACCGCAATTAAACCAGCACTGGACTATACCTCACGTTATCATTGGGCTATACCCTAAGCACCACACGTTACACGCTAAACCCTATACCTTAAACCCTAAACCTTAAAACCTAAACCTCAAGCCCTATCCCCCAAACCCTAAACTCCCAGAAAACTAGGGAACCCTTGGTAGCTCTCTGGCCTTGGCACAGAATGAAGCCAAACTCCAACATCCAAGGTTGGCCTTGAGCGTAATGGGACTTTCATAGCGGTTATACAGGGCGTAGGGCATGATAATGGACATTCAGATGGAAAAGAACATGGAAAATGAAATGGAAACTGGCTTGTGTAAAGGGAACCACAGGGATCGTGTGAACAGCCCCATACCCTAAAAAGCTTCATGACGTCTGAGAATGCAGCGGAAGTCCGGCCAAGTCCGAGTGAAGCATCCGAGACGTCGAGGGAAGGATCGCCTCTCTGGCTTCTGGTGTGCTTCATAAGCTTATGGTTCAAGGGGTTTAGGGTTTGCGTAGGGATGCATTGGGCTTAGGCTTCAGGGTTTAGGGTTCAGGTTTAGGCTTTCGGGCTCTAGGATTGCATACGGATCATCACGCGACTTACCGCGACTATGAGAGATGATAGTGGTGATGTGGGCCATTTAGGGATTGTTGTTTGTGTACCATGGGAGGCAAGGGAAGTATGTGGAGTTGTGCGCGCGCTGCAACTGTAGCTTCTCGCACGTATACACAAACTTGTGTACGTATAACTCCCCATTAACCTTTCATTGTGAACCTCAAAGGGGATGAGGTTTGGATTGCTGACCGAGCACTTTCAGTTCACGCCAAACCCTTCACTCTGAATCTTTGGTGTCCTTAGCTTGACCTCCTCCTCTGATACGAACGATGATCCACGATGCAGCTCTCTCCTATGGCCATGTGTCGAAACCGTGGACCGTTGGCGTCACGTACTGGAGACGCTTTCCAGGGGGGCATGTAAATGCAAATTGCTGCCCTATATTGATTAAAGGAATCAAGGACTGAGCCGCAGCGATGAAAACTCACTAATCCCTAAAACCCTAATCCCTAAACCATAGTCCCTTATCCGGAAACCCTAATCCCTAAACCCTAAACCATGCTCCCTAATCCGGAAACCCTCAACCCTAATCCCTAAACCCACTGCCCTCCTGGCCCTTGGAAGCCCCGGTCTGAGGCTCCGAGCACCTCTCTGGAAGCTGAATTTAAATTCCAATTTAAAGCCATTTTGGTACTATTCCCTATATAAGCCGATTCGCACTTTAAGGCCATTTTGGTACTATTCCCTAGAATAGCCAATTTCCAATTTAAAGCCATTTTGCTATTATTCCCTATATAAACCACTTCCCACTTTAAGATCATTTTGGTACTAATTCCCCAACCTGGACATTTAGGGTGAGGTCCGGTGAGGTTCGCCTTACATTGCCCCAGGATCCAGGCCTTCTCCACATACCACCAGCGATCCAGCCTGCGGGCTCGGGTTTTTAGGGTTTATCTAGGGTTTCGGGTTTAGGGGTTTAGGGTTTAGGGTTTAGTGTGAGCCAAGACGGTAAGGTTTTTTTAACGGTCTTTGTATTTCGGGATGTACGGGGGCTATATAAAAATGTATAGGGATTAGGGTTTTGCTTTAGGTAACTTCAGGCTTCAAGTCGGAGAGTTGGGTCATTGACCTTCCTCTTTATTTGGCTTTCTACTTTGCATGAGGAGTCTCTTGGCTGAATTGTCTTGGCCCAGTATGTCTGTACATAGTCCCTTTTAAGTAGATAGAATATGGGGTATAGGGGGGATCTTATTATAATATACCCAAGGCCATATTCTATCTACTTAAGGTGGACGATATGCAGATCCTTTGTCGTCTGGCCGCGCCGGCAGGCCCGGACCCTGAATGGGAGAACGGCCTCCCAATTTTGAAGCCTGAAACAACTGGGTTGGCCCGAAAACCCTTTGAAAAATATTAGTACATAGGGTCCCTTATTAAAGCCATTAGGGAAAATATTCAATATCCCAGGGGCCTACCCAGACAACAGACCTTATTAAGACCGTCTAAGGCATAGCGCTACAGAGCCTCAGCTAATGCTGACAGCACTAGTCCGATTCCGGTCTCACACTGGTTTGTTCAAGTAGTGCTGCAAACATTAGATGTTTAGCAGCTCGTGCTTAGGTTTTCGCTTTGCAGCCAACCCAGGAATAATCGCACTTGTATCGATTGCATGAAGCGATGCACTGACACTGCCCAAACCCTTCAATACCGTGCGAGGCACGGAACCCGTTTTGACAAACAGTCCTGCTGCCACCGTGGCGCGTAAAAGCTTTCATGAGAGCATATTTGTCACAAAATTACAGTTTTCCACCTACTGTACCTACTCGAAGCCCAGTACAACCATGACAAGCTTCATACATCCAACGGAACACGAAGGCACAGTCCTGAGTGTTCAGCCCATACGTTATATGTCTATCTATCTATATAACCCCTATATATCCCTATATATTCCTAAATATCCCCTACGTGTCCCCATATACCTAGTCCCATACCCTTTTGCACTTCGCACCTGGGGGCGGACTCACATTGCACACCAGCCTGCAATGTGGGACCCTAGATCTCCCAAGTACCAGGGATATATAAGGGAGATACATACATATATATATATATCTCTCTCTCTCTGTATATGTATATTTATATAATGCATGCATGGATATGTATATACGGATATGTAGGGGATATAAAGGGATGTATTCATATAGGGGATGTATAGGGGACCGGGCATATGTAGGGACAGAAGAGGTGAAGGAGGAAATAATGGAGGCTCCAGTGGATAAGAGAATTGAGATGAAATCGAAAGTGGGTTTATGTAGTACTTCTTGCTGATTGGATGGGGTTTCCCGAGAAATTGGATGTCCGTTTGTGGGGGTCCTGTTGTAACTTGTTTGTTTCCTTCCCTTTGTTGAAGCTTGTGGCCTAATAAGAAGTAGTTGCTAGCCCGAGCCCGTAACAGCTCATATGGAGTCTCCGAAACGGGGGCCCCTTGTTTGAGTCCCTTTAGCAAGTTTGTATATTGCCTAACATTGGGACCCCGAGTTCTGGAATCCCTAATACAATAGTCAGCAGATGCTCATGTTCTAGGGCCTGGGGTTGCCCGGCTATCAAGGTTTAAGCCGAATTTAAATCAACATACTAACTCTGTTTCACGCACACATTCGGGCGACTCGGACATCTTTTTCCAAGGGCAGGCGGGAGTCCGAGCAGCTCCACAAGTCTGATGCTGGGTTTACTGTCAGAGATCAAGGTGCTCAGCAGTGTAGGGGTTTAAGGATTAAGGTTTAGAGTCTCGCGGTGTTAGGGGATGATCATAGGTTCTAAGTGGTGCAAAATTCCCTGCATCCACCGTAGGGAGGTTAGTGGCGCAAGTATCCAGGAGCCGTTGCCGTCTCGGCACTTCGCGGCCTCAGGGTGTAAGGCCGAAGGGCTACCGTAGCATCTGGGATGAGTAATGCTGTTTGGCGGGGAGCCTCGTTGTTACAGGGAAGAGACTCAGGGGCATGTAGGGTTCAGGGACAAGGCTTCAGGTCTAACATGGATAAGATTTGATACCAAAATTAAGGGTCCTTATAAGGGGATCATAATATTTTGGGGTCTATGTTGGGCCATTTTTTCTAGAAACATCCATATCCTCCAAGCACACAATACATCACAATACCATAGTCTCCACCAAGGGGCTTTCCTTCAGAAAGCCAGAAGTCCAGGGCAACAGCGAAAAACTCTTCTCGAACCATGTGTCCTTCAGCAGATGAGATTACCCCCAAACCCCTGGAACTTCCTCTTCTAAGTTAAGGGCCCAAATAACACCCCCCCCTAATGATAACTCCCCCCAGCACCCCTGACAATAAACCACCCAAAATCGTGCCTTTCATTATTCATATGGGGGAATGTTTGCCATAGGGGGGAGGGGGGGGGGGGGCTTTCCGCAATTTCAAATGCGTCGTGTGCCCATGAAGCTCTGAATCTCTTTCTCCCTTTATGCACTGGATGATAGTAAATAGTCCCCTAACGTAGGATGGTACCATATACTGCGAATACTTATTAAAGGGAGGGTGGGGGCTCGTACTACATGGCGATCATACTTGTAAGTCACTAATTCCTGTTTGAAAGAAAAATGGAGTAACGCACATGAAGCTGCGGCAGAGATTGCACAAAGAGATATCCAACTGTCGTAGAACAACACTTCCACTTATGCCTAACCTGCTTGGGCCCTTGTAATTCGACCTTACCGTTGGCGGGATGAACTCTCCATTGACTGAGGTCGTTCACAGGAGTAACCTCCTGAACGAGAAGACATATAGATTCTGCAGGAAAGCAAGAGATTCTTTCATCTTGCCTTCATTGCAACAGAAAATTCGCCTTGACACGCCTATCCACACTGCCAGCCACCTGACAGGGCTACCCCTAATGTTGGAACCTCCCGAATGCCGAGTAAAGCAGGCCATCTGGCAAGCAAACGGCGAAGGTAAACTAGGCATCATCAAGTAGTGGCGTAGTGGGGTTTTGCGTCACCTGTTACAAATAATGCTGTGGCTGCAGTTCTCGAACTATCCCTGCAAAAAATGCCTATATAGCTGAATCGCATTCAATAATTCAAGGTTTACTGCCTGGAACACAACTCGAAGTAAGACAATCTGGCCTGCTTCCGGAACCATCGAGAACTCTACGGAATACCTTGGCATGTGCTTCGGCGTGGCATCGTGGCTGGGGAATATGGATTCTTTAGCCATGTAATCCCCCTAAATAGATAATTACTTCAGGGGGACTATACTCTGTAACAGGCCCACTGACTCTCGGCTTGAAGTAGGCCCAGAACAAAACAGGCTCCCGTCCTAGCCTCTCCCTTGTGAGCTAGTCTAAACTCCTAGTATGCCCCTAAATAGACCCTGTACTAGTCCGCTATATAACCCCTTTTAAGAAGCCTAGACTATAGCTCGAAAATTATCAAAGTTTCCGGTCGTTTGGAAGACATGCTGGACAAGCAAGCAAGAAGATCGAGACACTCTGAGCAGATTAGGGGTTGCTGTTTAGGCTCCGGAAACAACTCTGAAGAACCTCCGAACTCTAAACCCTTGCAATATGAGCATACACCTGAACCCCTGCAACCCTACAAAAGCAAGCACCAGAACCCATGAACTGGAGGAAGAAGCCTAAACGGAGAGGACCCCTACATGTCCCGCAGAACAATAGGTTTCTCCAGCATAACTCGATGAAGCCCTGTAACGGCTTTGAAGGGCTTTAGATATAGCCCACCTTAAGTAGATAGAGTGTGGGGTAGATGGGGATCTTATGATAATATACCCAAAGCCATTTTCCATCTACTTAAGGGGGACTATAGCCCTCAACCCTATAAATAGTAGCTTCCATTTTCTTTTCCATTATCCCAATATTACCCCAATAATTCTATCTACCCCAGATAAGTTCCGAATAGAGCTTCTGCCCTGCCAACTCATGACACGCGGCCCTGCAGCCCGCAGCCGGGAGACTAGTGGCTTTGCCACTCCCTTCGTTTAGGGTTTTAGGGTTTAAGGGTTAGGGGTTAGGGTTTAGGGGTTTAGGGGTTTAGGGTTTAAGGCTTTAGGGTTTAGGGATTGGGATAATGGAAAATAAAATGGAAACTACTGCATTGTATTATATAAGTAGATACAATATGGGGTATATGGGGATCTTATTATGATAGACCCAAAGCCATATTCGATCTACGTAAGGGGGACTATAGGGTTATATGGGGGTTATCTTAGGGTATATTGGTGTTTACTAACCACCCCTGCGTTATCAAGCCCTGGATGCGGGGTTCCTTGCCCAATGTCAGCGAATTGGATTAACCTATGCCTTCTACACTTCAGTGGGGGAAAGGTGCGTAAGATTCGGGACCCGTGCCGCTCCTCTCTTCCTGACCTAGAAACAACGCAAGGATGAAAGTCCTCGCGCAACCAAATACGTGAATCCTAAGCCCGGGCCACCACTCCCGTCATCACGGTAGTCTTAGGGGACCCCCCACTTTCAGACTAAAATGCACTGATTAGGCATATCTGGCCCCTGAAGCCCCTTCATGGCATCAAGATCCTGATTGACCCCTGGACCCTAAAAACCCTTAAACCGCGTGCCCGGCCTCGGGGGTAAAGAGCCGATCCTTTGCACCATACTCCAGGAAGATCTGGGCAGGCTGAAGAGGAGGTCCAGGAATTTTGCAGCTTACAAAACTATCCCCCTAAGACTGCCTGCAAGCCTATTAAACCTGAAGCTCTACATAGACCTTGTTAGCTCTTTTAACCCTGGGGAGGGGCTGCTGGCCTCAGATGGCTGGGATGTACATATTTGGTTCGTGCTGCGCTATCTTTTTTTTTAATGGATGCCATCAACGCCAAACCACTGTCCCTCTAGAATGGGGCCTTGTAGGGTTTCTTGTTAGCTCAGCGGAAGGCAGTTTCTGGAAACGAGGATGTGGTCACATACCATCTGCTATCATCTACTCATCGGTTGAGGCTCGATGGGAGGTTGCTTGGGGCGATGGCATTAACCTTTGTTCTTTCCTCATGTGAACCATAGTCTAAACTCCTAGTACCCCCCTTAAAAGCCCGTATAGTCTTTTCCTATATAATCCCCTATATAACCCCTGCTTGAAGGAGTCTGGACTATGGCTCATGTTTGTTGTGCCTTGGGGGAGCCAGACTTGCAGGATCCGTCTGTTCATTCCGAATGTTGAGGGCTTTACGCGCGGCTCTGAGGTCCAAGCAACCGAGCGCAACACCACAAAGGCTTAGGGCTTAGAGTTTAGGGACCCTCATTCTCATTCTTGTTGTGTGTGACGAATGGGCTTAGGCCACTAGCCCAAGAAAAAACTTTCCAAGATCGTCTGAAACCACAAGGTCCCATGTTTACGCTTGGGATGCCCAAAACATCCTCAGCACGCTCCCCCAAACTGGCATGGCCTTCTGCCCTCCGAACAACGGGCTATATTCCGCTTTCAGAACGGCTTTCATGTAAGTTTTTTTGGGGGGGATGTTAATACCGGCAAGGTGCTTGAGGCTGCTCCTGTTGATCACTGCGCGTGTCCACGTAGAAGCCGACTGCCTGGACCAGCCTCAACATTCAGGAATAAGCGCTCCCAAATTGGGGGGTGCTTGTCAAGGGGATGTGGGGCTTATATAGGGGTTTCTAATGTTTAAGGTTAGGTCTTTAATATCTGGGTTGCTGCGACTAAATCACCATTATGGGAAAACCACATAATTAACCTTAACTTTACAAAGTATCCATGTGATGGCAACCCAAAACAAGTTCCTTAACAGTCCAAAAATCCTTTCGCCTTGTTAGACAAGCTCCAGTCACTAATACCGAGATTCCCCTATGGTATAGTGTCCGATGTGCATCTTTCACGTTATTTCATAAGGGTATTGTGTTAGGGGAGGAAAGCCTTGTTCACTGGATTCCACTGGCTTCTCTGAAGTATGTGACAATGATGGCAATGAACTCCTGTCGTTTTGCAGTTCTGTATTCATAATGAACCTGAACAAGTTGCACACTACCCCCACCTGGCCAATTCCAGAACCCCCAGAACCACAAAAAGCTTCACAAGTGGCTGCTGTGGACTCCATGTCCCTGAAGTTTGGGTCTTAGTCTCATTCAGGTAGCCGCTGGAGGGCTTTCGGGGATGTTTTTGGATTGATGCCACTTCCGGCAGTCCCATCTACACTGCATGATGACAAAGCTGCAGGAAGCCTCAGAGCTAGACAGCAGGTGCTGTGCATTTTTGGTTGCTCACGGAGACACGCTAGCATAAGCAGCCAACAAAGGTACTTGTCTGTTGCAGGTGCTAGCAGGGTGGTAGCAGGTAGTATGTCCAGTTCAGGCGGCCCTCTACCAGGACCCTCCTTGTGCAATTAAGTGGGGATATATGGTCCCTAATAGTGGGTACTTAGGCCCTAATAGGGTCTAGGCACTGTTTGCTTCCATCAGGCGGAGTTCGGACTTCCTCAACAGCACTGACTTTGGGAACTGCGTAGAGAAAGGCAAAACTTGTGGTTCTAGACTGCCATCGAGGTACGCGGTTCGAAAAAGAGATGGATTCCGAAGCGCCTTGGTGTTCTTTTGCGGTCTGACCACTCGAAGTGATTACGGTCATAGTTATCTAGTGGCATCCTGCGCTTCCTTTCTCAAAAGCAACATTGTGCGCATAGATGTTTCACGTGAGCTTCGCAGAGTCAGTGTGAACTAGCACCACAAAAATGTCGCTGGCTTCTGCTGCTCAACATCAGGCAGTTCCTGCGCCAAATTTTGAAGGGTATATGACACATGCTCTTTCCCTCGGACACTTACAGTCTTCCCTTTCGCTCTGCAGCACCTCACCTGACAGCCAGTTCCAGAAAAGACAGGGATCGCCAGCCAAGCTCTAAATTCAACCCTTGGCAGTAAACCTCAAACACTAAGCATTGAACCCCGAACCTCAAACACTTAACTCCTGGACCTCAAACCTGCACCGCTTACTTACACCCAAGGATTATCCGACCAGGCACCACGGAGAGGCCTATCGACCCACCATCGGACATACCCATCACAGCAATGCGGCGGCCATCGATTGGCACACGCCGTCCTGTTGGACAGGTTAGGTGCTGAAGGTTGCAGCAAGGATCTAAGGCGTATCCTTATACAGGATGTGCAGGATGTAAACGTGTAGGTTGCATATGAGGCTCATCATAGCCCTGGGCAAGGAGGTGGGTTGCCAAGGAAAGTAGTCACGAAAGAAATGAGTCTCTCGTCGCTCCATGTGTGAGCCCAACTATATACCCCAAACCCTTTTGAATCTGTGCCCCCACAGACTCAGAGAGACTGCAGGGCACGCCATCGTGTAGCGTGCCTGCTAGGAGGTCTACTGAAGCCACCGCACACATAATCACAATACCCTAACCAATTCCAGCATCCCGAACTCAGAGCAGCCAGGACACGGACCTCGTTTATTGCAAACTCGATGAAATCCATGTCCTGCTGGCTAGAGTCCCCTCAAGTAGATAGAATATGCGGTATATTGGGATCTTTTTTATAATATACCCACAGCCACATTCTATCTACTTAAGGGGGACTGTATTCCGTTAAGGTTGATTACAGGGAGGGCTTGAGGTGTACTCTGCTGTTTGTACCATTTATTTCTGGGCGTTTGCAAAGAGTGTGCTCTTATTGACTTGATGGAGGCGCCCCCTTGACCAAAGGGGGCCACACGGTCATAAAACGTAAACTTCAGCACATTTGCGGCCCAAGATTCTGCAAGACACAAAAGACTGTCCCAGTACATCGCGCTGCCGGAACTTTGGGGTTGAGGGTTTAGGGGGTTTGCGAGGAAAGGCGGCCCCAAGTGACCCAAGAACATCCCGAACCCAAAACGCTCCTGGCGCTGGCCAGTGAGCAAGTAGTCCCAAGTGGGCCCGCGCGACTCCGGCACCACGATTGCGACACGGTGCTGCCGCGCATCTCTTTCAAACCGCTCCTGACGTGACAGCTGTGGGCCACAGGGATTTCCGGAATTGCCACAGCTCAGCTGTAGGGATTAAAGAGCTTCGAGGAGACTGAAGAAAGCTAGGGTGAGAAATGTTCATGGCTGAGGGCTTGTGCTTCGCTGGGGCTTGGGTAAAGGCTGCGGAATAGTCTTACATGCGCAGGCAGTCACAAACACATTCAGGATGTCACTGCTGAACTATTCAGCTGGGATAGTCTCATCGGTTCTGGCTCATTGAGCTAGGCTGGAATCCCATACCTTGAAAGACCTGCAAATGTGGACAACATTCAAAGCAGTGCCCAGAAGCAGCATCGCGAGTATTCCTTGAGGAACGATGAGCGAGGGGCTTGGAGGCTCATAGTGAAAGCGTGGAGAATGAAACCTTTTTCTATCCGTTTAGATACCATATATAATCATAGCCTGCAACCCCAGACCGAAACCTTAAACATCCTTAAGCCAAATACCGTGACCAGAACACGGTGACCCAGTGTTGCTTCAGCAGAGGCACGGTGAATGAGAGGAAATCCCAATCCATTGGCCTGCCGTTGTCAAATGGTGCCGTATCCAGGGTTTTTCCTTAAGGTTTGGTATTATGATTTGAGGATTTCAGGTTGGCGGTTTCAAAGCTCTCTTTTACTGTTACAGGGCTTAGGGTTTAGGGTTGAACAAACTGCCCGGCTACCCTCACACAAGCTTCATCTGGACTCGAATTTTAAGGCTAGCAGGAAATCCAAGGTTTGGGGTTCCGTTGCGCGTTCATACGCATACTGCCATGTACTTATAGATGAATGGAACAGCTCGTCGCCAGAAACCGAATCAAAAACCTCTGATGTTTCTGCTTCAGACCCTCGCGCGCCATCAATGTGGATCTCTTTTTAGGCAACCCTTCTCAGAAAAGGACCCAATTGCACCGCATCCCTTCAAATCTCTTTGCAGCCCTCTAAGCCCTTAATCCAACTACACCTCCTATCTTCTAAAGCCCTACTGTACACCCAAATTCATAACCTAAACAAAAACCTGAAAACCTGAAAGCTTAAACCCCCACCCTAAGCAGGTCCCCGAATAGGTACCCCAAGGGTCCAGGTACCTAGACAAGTTGTAATTTTTAAAACCCAAACGAACTCCTATTGGTGCTCTTGGCCCCGACTATATATGAATCAATTTCCATGTGTGGTCTCCCAAAGTGGACACCAAGCATAACGCTCACCACAAACAAATAATATAAAATGATACCATATAGAATCCAGGATAAAAATACAACAATTTCATATAACATAAAAATATAGAACAGAATATAATATAATATAATCCCCTAAGCCCCACATACTCTTTAGGTACTTGGACGCTTAGGGTTCGAGCGTCCTGGAGCCATGGAGAACCAGCAGCAAAGGCATCCTCTCTACAGGCGCATCGGGCAGCCACACGTGCCTTGGTCTCGGGTGAAGGGGTTATTGGGTTCCACGTTGTTTGCATCTGGGGGTTCTGAAAAGGGAGTTCGGAAATCACTCGTGAAGGGGCGAAGGTAGTTGCTCGAGTGTCAGGGATCCGCCTGGAGGACTTTTGCTACACGGCTTGCAGGAGGCCCAGTATTGAGATATTTTCCAAATTTGCACTGCCACGATGCCAGGGTCTTGGGATTTTAGGCGCCGCGTCCTGTCTGGCAGATGCAAGTCTTGGCAGCCCTGGAAGTCTCCGCAACCCGGCTCACATGCTTGAATCAAAATGCAAGTCTGCTGCAAAACACTTGAGCCCAAAACCTGTACACCAAGTATGCAATAGAGCCCCAAACCCCTTAATGAATACGCCTTAAACCATGTAAGGGCCCTCGCATCCTCCCGGGTATGCTCCTTAATGCAGGTAGATGGTAGCAGCTTTTGGCACTGGAACAAGACCCCAAAGGCTTTGGCTTCCATTTATCAATGCTTTTTGGTTTGGGACGCCGGGGGTCCCCAGATTGATTCAGGATTATACTGTTTTGGCGCGTATAAAAGCCGCTATTTTTGGAGACTCCCAACTGGATCTTGCCGCCAATAGAATTCAAGACTTTTTGTGCTGAAGCAATTTATAGCAGCCTCATCGAGAAAGTCAGGCTGCGCTTGCTGGCCAGACTGCTCCAATCGAAAGCTTCCTTAGATGAGCGATTCACGCACTCTCTTCGTCCCGGTTCTGCCCAGACTCAGACTCAGCACGACTGAAGTTTTGAGTGTAGGGCTTAGCTGGCTTTGGTAGATGTGAATTTGTAGAGTTTCCGGAAGGAAGCATTTTCGAAGGAAATTACATATGAACCGCCATATTATGGGCGGATGAAAAGAGTCAGAAGCCACCCACCCCTGATAATGTACACTCCCCTGATTTATACTGGTTCTGCGCTGGAAACGTCTTTCTTACGGTGGTTTTGTTCATGAGGGGAGGTCACTACCCATCGGGGTCCCGAGGTTCTTTTCGCCGGCTCCACTGACTGCCTTGGTGCCTGCAGTGCCACTTGAAGCAACTCCTGGGCGAGTTCAAAGCAAGATACTGTATGAGCCCACTTTATTTGAATAGGAGTCTGGGATATTTTCTAACATAGTTAGGTAAGGTTTCCAACAGAATAATGTTGGTATTCATCTAGCCTTCTACGCTAGCTCAGAATGGATGAATTTGCAGGAACACTTTAAGAATAACCGTAATCTGACCTAAGCCAGGATGCCCATAACCTGGCTTGAGAATACCCATCAACCTCCGCGTGGTTCAAGGTTTTTTTCGGCGTAGGCCAGTCGGCTTCGAGTGTTCGTGAGTAAGGCTAGGCTTTTCAGGTTAAGCGTAGCTATTATCCATGTGGGATTGCATTAAACGCTGCTACCCGGGAGACAAACATATCCTGTGTGCAGTTTCATAAGGCCTGCAATCAAGGGGTCCAGACAAGAAGTGCCAAGTGCCAATAAGAGGTTGAGGCAATCTTAAATACGATCAGCCACTCTACTCCCGAAGTGCTCGCAGTACATAGAACTTGCCAGACACAAAGATCAAGAGCAACAAAGGGGGAGAATGGATGAGATCGAACTTCTTCCGTTGGAATGGCTTTAGAAGCCGCGTAAACCCATCTCTCTGCCCCACACGGGCCAAAACCGCTCATGCTACGTAGCAATGCGGCACCCTTCAGGTGTCCAGCAGCATGGACCTGTTAGCCCAGAAAACAAGCTAGAATATAGCTGCATCAGGAAGGGGCCCATCCTGTGTGATACTTCAGAAGGATCAACAACCACTGTTACTCAGGCGTGCCGGGCTGCTCCATGACGCGCGAGGAGGACGGCCTCTGCGCTGGCACGGGGCCGAAGAGTGGAGAATCAGCTGGAAAAGAAAATGGAAAATAAATGGAAGCCGGAAGTACATAGGGTGTTCTATGTGCAGGGGATAACATTGGAAAATGAAATGCAAAAGAAAATGGACCATGATATAGAAGCTGGGTTGGTATAGGGGCTTACAGGGGTTATAGGTACTCGTGTAGGGGGTTAAAGATAGATTATGACTTACATAGGGTTATATGGGTCATGGGGTATCATGGGAACAAAAACAGGGAAAATGAAATGGGCACCTTGGGTTTACATCAGGGTTTTTAAAGGACATAATGTTAATGCCAACATCAACCCCTCCCTAACCCATTGATCCTATATTCCATGCTCTCTGACAAGGTGAATCTATAGAGCGGGCTAAGGCTGAGTATTGGTCAGTGCTCCAGAAACACGGAGCATCAGTGAAAAAAACACCTGTCTAACCGCCTGAAGCCGACTCAGGCCCTCTACTATACGGCCTAAGTAATTACCAACATCATTACTGAGGTCTGAGGAACCGTAAGATGCAAATAGACAAGGAATGCAAAATCATCGGAATGGTTAAGGGCCCTCTGCGAGCCATTGTCTAAACTCCTAGTACCCCCTTAATAACCCTTATAGTAGTCCCCTATAATTATTATAATCCCTTGTATAGCCCCCCTTTAAGGAGTCTAGACTATATTATGGCTCACATTACTCCCATCATCGCAAGCCTCGGAAGCACCACAATGCTCGCGCTCGTCGCCATGCCAGCCGTGGCGGCTATCAGCCACGAAGTCTGCGATGGGCGCCCAACCTGTCGAGTCGGATACTGATAAAGGGTTAGAAAGGGGTTTATACGGATTATGTAGGTATCCTTTTGGGATCATAGGGATTATATAGGGATTATATAGGTTTTATAGAGGGATTATAGAGGGATTATACAGAGGTTTATAGGGATTCCATACAGGTATAATTTATTGGGATTCTCTAGGGATTATATGGGATTGCAGGGCTCCATGCTGCTGGGGGCAAGAACCCCAAAGCTGAGTGCTGCGCCGTACGGAGGAGGATCTAAGAAGGGCCCCTACTTAAAGAAATTTCATTAGGGGTGGAGCACAGCAGGCCCGGCACAAGGTCTGTGAAAGCTGTGGTCCGCTTTGGGTGAGTTGTCTGTAAGGCTGGTTGCCTCTCTGGCTCTGGGCTTCATTCCAAGGATCCACGTAGGAACATGTTTCCAAACACACGCATTGAAACCAACTGATAACTACACATCTGGAAGAGTCTGAATGTAATCCAGCTCCATTATGCTCAGTGGGGATTGGCCGAACAGATTTTGGGCACAAGCACACGAGAGCACATAGCGTCTACTATGGGGATCCATTCCTTCATTCCCTGCTCAGCACCAAGGACGAAATAGGTTTGTGCATGCCATGCTGGGAATCTGCATCAGCATTTCAGGGTCTAGGCAAGGTGAAGGTGTGTACCGGTCCTAAGACTTCTAAAAAGTCTAACGGAACGCCGTCCGTGCAGCTTTGGGATGTCTGCAAAATCCACGGCCTCTGCTCAGCAATGTCAAGCATCAAGCGCTTTTTTTGGAGTTGAAAGCCCTCAGCGCAAGGGCGAAGCGTAAGCAGTGTGCGTCCCAAGTCCCAGGCAAGAAGCTCAGACCCCATGTGCATATTTCACTGTCTTGCACATTTTAACCTAAACACGCCCCCTCCCAAAACTGCACACATTTTACAAAGCAAGACACCATAGGACCATAATCATGAGAAAGCCTCAAGTGGGTTTTGCCATGACCCATGACATGCAACAGTGCAGGGTCCTTGTGTTTACTAATCACCTCTCCCAATAACAAACATTCCCCGTAACATTACTAGAGCCATCTTGGCGGGGGTTTAGCAGTAGGGGGGGAGGGTGTTATTTTGGGGGAGGAGATTATCCCCGTGCGACATACGATCTAAACCCCCTTAAGACCCTAAATTATAAACCTGAACCCTTAGCAAATTCTCCTGAGCCCTACTGCCTGACCCCTTATAATGAATCCTACTGACCATATACCCACATGTACCCCAAAACAGCCGACCTTTACCGCCATGGGCGAAGTGAAGCTCGACCCAGCCGCCTCGGACGAAGCCCCACCGCGGCTTGGGGGGACATGGGGGTTTCCCAAAACTAGGGGCACCTTTACAAAAGATTATAGGGCCATTATAGGGGTTCTATAGGGGTGTCTAGGGATTACTGTAGGGCTAAGGCTTAGGGATGTTTAGGGTTTAGGGTTTTCCAATATCCGGGGTTTTCTATGACAAGGATTTAGATGGATTTAGTATATTGGGGTCTTCATAGGGAAACTACCAGACGGGTAATTAGGAACATAGGGATATGTAGGGGTATATGGGGAGTACAATGGTACGTAGGGGTATATGGGGTATATGGGGCACATGAGGGTATAGGGGGTAGATTAGGGTATACAGGGGTATATGGGGCGTATATAAAGGCAAATAAGGGTGGATGGGCGTATATTACATTGAGTATACTAGTCTGGGGGTATGTAGGGTTTTCGGTTTTGCTTAGGGGCACGGGTCCCCCTGAAGGGACCTTTAGTCCCGTGTATATTTGTTTCAATTCCTAGCAAACCTTCCGAGGACTAGGCAGCCAAGTGCAAGAAGCTCAGCACGTGACCCTGAGTCTGGCCGGTGGTCAAAACCAGCGCGCCTGGCCATCCGCAAGAATATCATCCGGCGTCGTGGATTGAGTGCTGTGGAAAACTCGCGCCAGGTTGCTTAACCTAACAATCTGCCATTTGTTGGAAAGAAGGGTAAAAAGAATACAACCCTCCCAGTCCCAGCCCTAAACCTCACCTCACCGCGATCTTGCTCTTCTTAGTTCTGGCGGAGCCAGGCTATCAATACTCCCAACAGTGCGACCGTTCCGTGATGAATCTGCCGCCCCTACACTGAAGCCCTACGGCGCAAAGCTTGAACCGCACTCAGAAAGCCCAGTCTAGCTTAATTGAGGAGTATACCTTAATTTAAGCTAAGACCCTCAAAACGGTTTAAGGCATGTACCTTACTTCAACTGTATTGGGCTCCCTGCGTAGACGTAGACCGAAGCCCAGGGCCCTTTGCGCAATCCCTAGCGGCCGCCTGGAAGTTGTACTACCCACGGGAGATCTTCCGCATGCCTGCTACTTTTAAGGAACTTAGTTTAAATTACTATGTTGGGGAAACCCTGTTATTTATGACATATACCAATTAAGGTAACTTAATTTATAAGTCTTTTGGGAATGCCAGGCAACCCTTTAAGTCAAAGCTTCGGGATTTGTTTAGGGTTCAGGGCGCAGGGATCCAAGTGCTTTAGATCTATAGGTTGGGTGCCCCAGACCATAGACAACTTCTGCCAAACACATCTAGAAAAGAAGCCCTGGCCGTAGGCGCTAGTAGAGTTTGTTGCAGATCCACTTCAATGAATCCTTCATGTTTATCCTCCCATTAAGATGTTGTGCTTTCTTTGGGGGGGGAAGGGGGGGGGGCCGCCATTCTCGCAGCCATCAAGGCAAATCCTTTCCACCTCACAACTCCCCTCATAGAGGGCCGTTACCAGAAGACGTTCACAAAGAAATCAACCATAAGGTGATTTATGGTGATTGACATGTCATCTCCTTACGCGCTTTGGTGCCGGGACCTGGGATGCACGCCATGCATGATTACCCGTGCCACTGTCGTGCTGCTTACAATAGATGGGTGCTTACACATCACAAAATGGTGCTATCCCCTACTACCACTGCCGATATTTACTACGTAACCTGTCACTACTAGATCCAGATTCCATGTCTTTGCCATCTGGCTTTTCATTCGATTCCCGGTTTGATTCTCAGTGACTATTAGGTCCAGGCTGGTTTGGAAGGCAAATTCAGCTTAGGCCAGCTAGGCCACCACGATGTTCTTACCACTCTTTATGGGTAGACAGGTCATGTCAGAAATCCCCAAGTATGTCCCCAGAGACCCGGGGCCCCTCAGACCTAAGCCCTAGAGCCCTACTGAACCTCGCTATTAGTGGCCATGTGATTCTCCATCTGGTTCTCCATTACTTACGTCAAAATTTCAAAACTAGGTGCCCATTCTGTTGCAGAACCCTATTTAGGGCAAACACCCTTTTTCAGAAACCTTACGCCCAACTAAAGCCTTATTGCAGTGGTATAGAACCACTATAGCCTCTACACCCTGTATATATCCCTAAAAGCCCCCAATTTTCATTTTCGTTGTCCATTCGATTCTTCATTACTATACCCTACTAGCAACATAGAAGCCGTCAGGATTAGAAATATGATTTCAAGGTACACAAGGAATCAACAACCATACTATTGCTAACGAAAACCCTTTAATATGTTGTATTACTACTTAGGGTTCTGGGAAGCTAGTACCATATCATCACAAGTTAAAGCCCCTACAGTATTTAATATTCCTACTCAAGGTTCACAGCTAGAATCATACTATTGCTAATTATATCGAACCAGACTATTTCTAATAAACGCCTCTATAGTATATTATATTCCTGCTCAGAGTTCACATTAGCATTAAACCATCTATACTATATTACATGAGCAGCTATAGTCTAAACTCCTAGTATCCCCCTTAATAAGCCCTACTTAGAAAACTAATCTATGTAACCCCCTACATAACCTCCGCAAGGGAGTTTAGACTATAGCTGTTATTCCTACTCAGGGTTCACAGCCGCGGAGCTCTGCCGGAGCAGAGCGTAGCTGCACCCTTCGGGCCGCGCGGAGCGCCCGCGGCAGCCGCGGAGGGGCGGGGCCTTGGTCGGAAGGATTGGAGAAGTTGGCGTGGTTTTGGGGGGTTTAGGGTTAGGGTTTAGGGGGTTTAGCGTTTAGGGTTGAGGTTTACATGTTAGATGGTAGTTTCCCTAAATTTTGGTACCCCAATATAGACCCCAAGATACTATAGTCCTTATGAGGGCGACCCCCAAAAAGGTACCCCTAA